TTGGGTTTGTAATTTTGTGTTAGATGGGCTTACTTATTTTTAATTTAGTATTTTTGTTTGTTGTTTGAGGGCGGATGGGTTGCTGGTTGCCCTCGTTTGTGGAGAGACGGGGCCCCTTTTGGGCTATGGGGACACTCGTGTTCAGGTGGGCTGAATAGAGCCTTCAGTTCTTCCAATTCTTAACAGAAAAGTTTACATTTTAAAAACATGGAATAAATACTTGGTGAGAATAACCGATAGAATTTTAGATAAAAAGGCCGTTAAAAAGTTTCTTCTTTCGTTTAAATTATGTATTTTACTTTACGAAGATATACAAAGATGACATTTTTGGAATTTTTCCATATTGAGCCATTTTTTGGGTCAAAAAGTAAAATATTTTATTTTGTGTCTTAATGCATCTAGAATCTATTCGTTTGGGTATTTCGACAAGGCAAAGTACACTAGGGTTATCTGCTCGACGGATACCTTCGTGGAGGAGTTTCTAAGGGAAATTGGGTCGTATTCCTGTTGCACATGAGTCAACCAACCATAGAGCCAGCTCATTTGCCTAGGATCGAAATCCCAGCATTCAGCTGTCTTAACCACTGGTGAAGCAGAATTTGTGGGAGAATGAAGAAGGATTTTCAAGAGCTACTTTCATTCGATAAAATATCGTACCTTAATTCCGGAATTTTGATTGTTAGAACAATAAAAAGTTATTCTAAAAAAACTGCCACTAATACACACCGAATAACTAATTTCATTTGCCAGGCTTTCCATTTTGTTAGAATAGTTAGACTGAGGCGAAAACAGGTTTTCTGCCCATGAAAATGTATTCGAGTGAATGATTTTGAGTCCTTATATATCAATAAAAAAAGCGTTACATTTAACAGTCTATTATATCACAGCAAGCAAAAAATATGTGGCTTTAAAAAATATGAAATTTCACCAGATGTTTGTGGATTTTGCTTTCTGTATGCAGCTAGATTAAATGAATGACACCATTTAAAATTTTCGTAGTGTAGAATCAGCTTTACAAAAATTCGCAGCAAAACGTAGTTACGTCTCAAATAATTGTTTTCTTCTACAAACAGCTCATACTACAGTACTGAATTTCGGAAAATGTATCAATGAATCTATTTTTGGATATTTTAATCATTCCAATGAGATATTTTGCATCTGAAGTTTTTAAAAATCGGTAGAAACGCTAGTGTTTGTAAGATATTCTTTAAGTTTACAGGATGAGTTGATTTGAGAATCTGTTAACAAGATTCAAATCTGGTCCGGTTCCAAAACCTGAACACTAGTACATCAGAACTGAAAAATAATTCATGGATACGAATGTGTAAATTATAAACCCATGCATTTGGATTTACTTTTCACGATTAATTTCACGCGCGCAATATAAAAGCTAATATTTTAAGCAACTTCACAATGTAATTTTTGCTTCGTCAAATTATTAGCTTCGCATTTGAGAGGCATTGGTTCTAATTTTAGTTAAAAGAAAACGACGAAACCTTCGCAGCCATCTTAGTCACAGAGAATCTAACCTGGACAACAAACAGGCCAATGAATTAGAAACCCAAGATAAACATTTTATTGGATTACGTTTTGCACGGATAACTGCTTAGATTCGTTTCGGTATCGAGCTACATGCTTCTGAGTGCATTTACGTCCAGATTATACCATGCACTGGCTATGTAGCTTTTTAGATCTTGTAAATTAGCTTGCAAAAATGCAACTTGCAAAAACACATATTGATCTGCCAGTACATCTAGGTATCTCATGGCTGTTTACCCTCGAGGAACACCAAAACATCCATATCAAACATATGTGATAATGTTGATAACACTCGCCACGGTGAAGAGGTGCATTGCAAAATTCGCGTTTGAAGCATGTCAACTTTATGTGCCGCACAAACTACGCAGTTTCGTTGGGCATATAGCTTTCTGCCTTTATTTTCTATCCGAATTTGTGCTTTTTGATGTCCAGCGAAAGACGTCCAGGCGGATCAATTTTATATCGTGGAGTCCGTGGTGCCGAGTTCGATGTACCAGGTTGTGGCTCTTCAATGTCCATCAAATCGTCTGCATATATATCTTTATTTTCACGTGAAACCTTATTGAAGGAATTCAAAATTTACTGTAAGTAGAATTTGAACAACCGAACAGCTTCAAACCACAAAACATACTAAATACAAATGTAAAGTGGCGCATGGATTGCGCAATGCATGCGCTAGCTACAGTCGAGATAAATCGTAGTACTACGACTCCCGCCTTCAAGCTTCAGTCGAGATAAATCGTAGTACTACGACTCCCGCCTTTAATATGTTAAGAACCGTGGTTGACGAAGCACAGTAGAGTCCTTGTTCCGCCGTACGATTAATCGGAGAGGACGCCGATCACTCTTGGAAAACCGTGTTTGAACCGCAGTTAACGTCTTCTACAGAAGGACTGTGGGTTCCGATTCCAACTTTTGAAAACCTTTGATATGGCTGCTTTTGAGAACCCAGTGAGATTTGCTGTCTTTGAATCTCAAGGCCCCTGTTAAACGGCTACCAACAATAAGCCCTTTTTTCCAAATGGTGAAACATCTGTCTTTTTCCTCATTTTACTTCATTCATCGTAAAAAGCACTCGTACACCTTACTTATACTAGCATTCTAACCACGTGTAACCCACATCAGAAAACAAATTTACATACTTCATCTCTAGCACGCATGCAAATGAAAATCTCAAAAGGTTTCTAATTTATTGGCCAGTGTGTGTATTAGCTATCAACGTCTCTAGACGTGTCGTCATCGAAAATGTATCTGACTATTCTCTCAGTGAAAGCTTCCAACGTCATTGCACTTAGAGTTACAGCACAATTGTCAACTTTAGAAAGATTTAATTTGTACAGACAGCTCTCGGGTGGGCTGCATAATATTTCAATTAGACAAGTTTCGAACGTGAAAAGAAAATCCGTAAAGAAATATTTATATTTGCGAGTTAAAAAGAAGGAAGTGGGTAGTAAGGCAGTAAATTTAAACGGGAAGTAATGGAAATTTCAAACACTGGTTGATACTACATCTTTCGTCATAAAAACTAGTGAACTTTATATAGAAAATTTTAACTATCCTTCTACTAGTAATTACTCAGTGTTAAAAATGACCGAGGTGAGAATTATGTAATCTAAATTTAGCTCTCCTTGATGAAACATCAGAAACAAAGATTTAGACAGAGGATATACTACATGTAATATCTATATAATGGTAAATAAAGCTTGTCAAACATTAAAATGATTTTTTAACACGAGTAATCACGGATACTTGATCGTTACTCTTTGATATTTTAAAAAGAGTAGAATCAATTGAAAAGAATAGACTTGAAAATAGCATTCTGTCAGAATGAAAATGATTAATTTAGGGTATATGTGATACACCATTATTGTAAAATTAAGAGCGATTCATGTGTAGATCTAATAATTTGACAGAATTGAGAAAATTTTAGACTTTAACGGCAATTATACATTATCTCAGCTCTCGTTACAATGAACGTATGAATTTTATATGAAATGCTACTGGGTTTCTGAACCTCTTATAAAGCGCATTAAATGTTAACATGTTTATGCTTAGGAAACTTGTTAATGTGAAATAATTTTTCTGGCCTTTAAAACTTGCATTTACTAAATGCAAGTGTTTGCATTAATAGTCTACTGCAGGTACTCACGACTTGTTTGTTAATAATCCTTTATTAGAAACTAAAATGAAAATGCATTTTAGAAGCAGATCTATGTAATTTAGTTATGCTTCGAACATTTTTAACATTTAACATAAAATATAAGGGGTCTTTGTTAACGAAACTTTCTTTTTTAAAATTTATAAGAGAATTTTGCAAGCGCCTTAAATATACAACTTAACTAATAAAATAGTAAGGATTTAAATTCCGTATATGCAATAGTAAGAATTGCAATTCCGCATATGCACTCTATATGCAATTTACATACGCTTAATAAAAATGTTCATCAGTTAGCTCTGAATAGTATCTCTAATACGTCTCATTTGATGTACTGAATCTTGTTAACGTAGCAATGGTAATTTAAAGCCACTTTAGAAAAAATACCTGTTTAAGTTCACACAATATTTTATTTCATACAGTCTACTTGCATGTATACCATAATATATCTTCTTGCATGTATACTATAATTGCTAATTTAAATTATATGCATTACTAATACCTTAATGATTATATAACAATATGCATATTAAATATTTGTACAGTACCTACAAAGAATCAGCATAAATATATTTAGTCTTGTAGTATAATTTTTAAACAAAATATTACTCAAAGCAGCAAACGTACTTCTGTCATAATTGTTAAGTACAAAAATCTCGTGTTCTCTCCTTTTTATAGAGAGATGTCTTGAAAAAAACTCAGCGAGAACTTAGTATATTCACGTTTAATAATGAAAAATTATAGATATAAAATCCTATAAAATAGATAAAAAATTGTATGCGTACCTATGTTTAAAGTTTTTACTCGAAATTTCCCAGATTACAATTCCTATTTATGGTGTTTTGGCTAGTTTCATGCATAATAAAATCTAGTACAATACACGGACTTACGCCAGTTAAAAGTACTCTCCCCATAATGAAAGCTTAAATGTATTTTCAAACACTGTACCGAAACCGAGAATAACGTAAGACTGTTTACAGCGAAAACGTAACCCCAAGCGCAGAAACAGAAGAATGGCCTGATATATTGTCATCAGTTACCCTGGTAGGCCTTATCTTGTGAAGCATACCTTAGGTTTACGGTACGCTGAGGCTCATAAACACAGATAATTAATAAACAAAATAAAGGTTAATGTCTTTTGGTTACTTTAGGTTTTTTGCAAATTCGCATTCAAGTAACACTTTTAGAACATTATCATTAAAACTAAAGACAGAAGTAAATTTCACAAATATAATTCAATAACCTAGTTCACAATTAAGACGTAATTATAAGTTCAACGTTCAAAGATAAATGGGGTATTCCTTACCTTGTATGGGGATTTGCATAGGAAAAATTAAGTTTGGTGCTGAGGTGTTCGTTCGCAGTTTGTGTCCGACATTGTGAGAAAAATCTGGATAATGACTTTTCATTTCTCTTGGAGAACTGAAAACGCGTTAGGTTATTGATCATGAGAAAAGCATGCGATGGTAAGAATTTGACGTATTAACGTTTATTCACACACAATGCAGCTTGACGTCAATCGCTAACACGAGGTTGAAAGGATCAACAGTTTGTCCTAACGAGGAAGTTGAAGACAAGGTCACGGTAGTTCGAGAAAACTGAACCTAAGTAAGACTGTAGTCACGTTTCTTATTGTAGAGATAGCTCATTCGAAGAAAATCTACACAATTATTTCGGATATTTAACAGTGAGAGTTTGAACTATTCTTATAAACGTGAATCACTTCATTTAGATCGCTTAGTAGAGACACTTTCATACTAGCTAGAGAGACATCTTTCATACATTTTTATGTTGCAAACTTGAGTAACCAGTTCTGAATTCAATCCCTTACACAGCATAAATTAACGCAGAATCCTACCCCTTGTGTTTTGGATCACATTATCGGATATTTGTTTTTAATCTGCAGTTTTTCAGTGAATGGAAGCAAAAGCCGAGCTATTTGATCAGTTTCTCTAACATAATTAAAACGTGAATTACGTCAAAAGGTTTACTACCAACAGGTTTAAATTATATTTAAGCATTTTAACCTAAGTAAATTTTGCTGTAAATTTTTTATGCTATTTCGATAGCTGAAAAGTTAAGCGCTTGGACTGTATTACTCTGGGGAAATTACGAAAATTCCAATCAGCAGTTTACTCCTCTTTTAGAGAGACTAAAGCAAAAAAAACTACTTATTAATTTTATTAATTTTATTAACTTATTCTACTTATTAATTTGCATAGGCGCCCAACTTACTTCAAATACTTTGCACACTACGCTGTAAATTATGGCTAATCCTTTGATCCCCAAAACAGATCGGTTCGTGCAAATCATTTTAAAAGAACAGCTTGTATTTTACACGTAGGGTAAAACCACGTAAACAGGCATACAGCTCATTCAACCACTGACAACTGAAGGCTGGATGCAATTACCGGTGACAACTTTAATTTCTTGACTTTAGGCAAACTTCAAATTAGGATTTTTTGTGAAATACGAGAAACATGAAAGCCATTTGTCTAAGGGGGAGGTGCTTTCGTGAAGGGCTTAATAAAGAGAAAGGAGATAGCCCTTGTTCATCTTTCATATGGTGAAAACAGAGGTCAGTAGACAAGTAAGGTTATGCTCTTTAAAACGCTGGCGTCTCTAACAAAAGTAGAAGAAGCGAAGATATAAAGGGAGAAAAAAGTTGAGCAGACTAGGAGTCAGTAGCGTTGTACAAGAGCAAACTTTAATAAATAGCAATTCGTATTACAGCAACTTTGAACAAAACATATGCATAGAACAAAATAGTAACTTTGGTGAAAACTACGAAAACACCCATGCAGCCATCCTATTCGCAGATATCCTAATCGAGTAGAACTACCACTGTTCAACGATCTTAATTGCTCGGCTACTGATAGCCTAGCGAGATTTTTAAATACGTATAAGAGCTTGAAAAATGAATAAAAGCAAACAGTCCAATTTCGATTTGGCTAACCTGAAATATATTTTAATTTTGAGAAGAGATGAGATTTGAATTCAGGGACTGATAAATATTAATTTAGGACAGCAAATTCAATTCTGACATTTAATATCATGAATGAAAGTGAAATTTCAGAAAAGTCGAGAAATTGTTTAAGTACCATTCTAATTATATTAAACAATGTTAAATAGCATAAGGTGACGAAAATTTTATCAATCGTCACATTACTCAACTTTTCCTAAAAACCTGGCTAAATTTCAAGAAAGAGTATAAATTTCTAGCAAGTTCAGTGAGAAGACTTAGTTTCAGGTATAAGCGAATTTAGCCAAATAAACGGCTGCGGTACTTCCGTTTTCGAGATAAATTGTAATTTTAGCCTGAGCTCACCGGAGCTCTAAATAAGAGCTCTCTGTACTTTTATGCAACTCAATCATAACTTCTACAGAAAATATTTTCGATTTAGAAAATTTTATTCGTAATAAGTGAACCACAAAAATCAATTCGTTTCCCCTCTGTCACATTCTTTTTAATGGCTAGAATTATATCGGTAGGAGATCGTGGTAAGAAAGTGGGATTCTTTTATTATACGTCTCTTAAAATTTCCTCTCTTTCATACTGTTTCTAGCATTCTCTATCTCATTGGGGACAACGTTAACAGTTTTACTTTTTTTCACTGGTGAACTAGAACAAGAATCATCTTTGTCTCTACCAGGGCTTAAATTCTGCTAGACCGAGTTATTTTAGTTTTTGAGGGAAATTATAATTCCAACCGTAGCCTCAAATAAGAGGTCCAGTATTTTATTATTTAAACTATTTATCATTAGTTAAATAATTTATTAAATTATTTAGTTTTAATTGTTTTAATTCAGTTTTAATTGTTATTTTGATTATTTGCTTAGATTTTTATTAATTTCGGACTAATGCCAATTGCAAATTTCACTGGGCTAAAAATTTGAATTATAGAACTTAGGACGATTCTTTTCAGTTTTACCATTATCTCACTGGAAAGAAAATAGAATGTTTTCTACGTTAGTTCTAGTTTGACTCGTTCCTTCTTATGATTACTTTCATTTCTAACACATTCTGATAAATTCACTTTTAGTACCTTTTTAATAAATAAAATTCCAAAGCCATTGTGAGCTGTGTGCAAAAGAAATCTGTTGAATTCAGAAACATCCGTTCACAAAATTTTCCTGAAATATTTGAGTGAAACTAAAATATTTGGCGCACTGGTAGATAAATATCTAAAAACAAATTAGTGACGAAAGGCTTAAATTAAATAAATATTGAAAATGAATAATCTTAATTTTCCGGAAACTGGAAAGAAAAATTTCTAATTATTTTATGTGATCGAGACCTACAGAATTAGTTTTTCGAGTACTCCTAATAGGCAGTCATGATTGCAGTTCAACTTCGAGTACTTTCACATGGAAGACGATTTATAAACAATAGATCATGTATATTAATTAAATACGACCCAAGTGTTAACAGAAACAAACTGTGCGAAAGCAGCCAAGTTTTTGAAGTAGGTCTAATGCGATTCTATTAACCTTGAACGGAAGTTCGACGTCTCATTAGAGCAGTTTTTCGCCTTTTGTTTGAGAAAAGATATTTATCTATTTCGAAATGATGCACGAAGAAAAATGGTTCAGATATCTACAGGCAATGAAGCTGATGAGCAACTTCATTAAGAGTTCAAAGCGAAATCTGCCAAGGAGGGGCAATTAATACATTATTCGATTATGAGATGTTAAGATAAAATTGGTGAATGCCGTTTTATTACCCAAGACCAGATGTAGGCCAGTTAAGAATCATGAAAGCAAAAATAGAAGTTTAAGAATAAACCTCATAATTCAATCGATATCAGAAACGATGGTCTAAGCCAGTTGTATTAATATGTGTAGTCAGTTTGCATATTTCTGGAAAAGCTTGTCTTTTGCAGCGAAGTTTTTCTTCGTGTACCTACCTATTCGAGCAATTTGGCGATTTTTTTTACGGAAGGTCTGCAGTTTGAAATTGCAAAATAATTACATATTACACGTATTTTACGTTGCACTTGGCTATTAAGTTACTTATGTATTATCCCGTTGACCATGAACGTTGGCTACCGTCCAAACATGAAAGCCGACCTAGATCCCACAAAGGTTGCGCCGATCCCGCAAAAGTTGTTCCTGCAGAATTCTGATGGTACTGACGCCTCTTTAATAAATTATCAGTACTCGACCCGCTTCAATTTTGCCCTTCGTAAAAAAGGGTTTCCTCGAATTTATGTTTGACAGGAAGCTCTGTTTAGAACGCTATGAGTAAACTTCCCGTAAATGATTGTTCCAATCTATTAGTGTTTTGTTGGGCATAATAAATTGATCATATCGTAACCATTAATACAAACGTTTTTTCAGGATAAAACATAACTGAAAATAATCAAGTGCTTGCCGTTTTGCAGAAGGTAGGCGCCAATTTTATTTTCTCTTGCAAAAGCACAAAGAGTGCAGTAATAATTTATATCCTTGTTTATAAAAACAAAAGGCATCTTATCAAGAATCAATCTGAGTTACATCAGAAAAAAACGCAAATGTTAGTTTGTTGTGACATCCCACTTATCCATAACTGGCGCTAAATCTTACCGCTTGACGAACGTTTCACAGTCGAAAGGATAATACGCGAGTACCAAAGAAATGTTAGCTTTTATTCACACTAGGAGCAGGCCAAGTTCAAATTAATGCCGAAAGCGAGATGCCATCCTCTTAGTATCAAATGTCAACTGGAAGTTAATTTTTACAATCAAAAAGTTATGTACCGACGATTCGAATATTTCACGTGGAAAATACTTTCTGTTCTGCATCTTCCTACTCATTTTATACAGATACTGTAGATAACGGATAAACTTGCCATTTTGTACATGTTAGTACACAAAAAATACTTTATTGAAAATTTAAACAGCTTTTTTTAGATGGGCGCAGAAGCTACAGTAAAAAGATTTAATAACAGCAAAAATAATTGTGTCCCACTTGCCTACGGAGAGGACTTTGGAGAAAATCGGCTCGTATTTATAGTACACACGTGGAAAACTGAAGTGAGCCCATTCAGCCCCAAGTAACCGAATTCAGTATGAAGATCTAGTGTTTAGCGCAATAATCAGCCTTGAGTGGCAATTCGTATTCTAATCAGAATTGCATTTGGCGCTTCCCGACACTTTCAGTATTATCAGAGCACAGATTTTCCATTATTTCTGTCGTCGCTAGCAGTTGCTCAAAAAGGTGCGAGATTTCAAAAGTATCATTTTCAAAAGGATCAAATTTAATCTCGTTTTGACCGCTGTTAATGAAATTTAGGAAATCCTTCTTGCCTTGAGATAATGTAGTGTGAAAATAAAAATTCGTGAGAAAATACCCCGCAATTAAACCTTCATTAAATATAAAAGGAAACTAAACGAATATAAGGCAAGAAAGATTTATGAATTAATGGTATACAAGATAACAGTTTATATGAGATAATGGTAGCGAAATGA